GGAGTGGGGGGTTAAAGGGGGGGGTAGAGGTGGGGAGGGCTAGGAAAAGACAACCGAGCGAGAGAAAAAGGACGGAAGGGGAGAAGGGAGAAGGAGGAGGAGGAGGAGGACTGAAGGGATTGCAGCAAGGGCAAGGAATAGCATCGGCAGGAAGGGAGGAGGAGGGACATCCCGCACCAGTCCGATCTTCTCTCGCAAAGAGTTTGACCTTTCTCCTCCTCCTCCACAAAGCACAGCCGCAGCCTTCCTCATCAACTCCTCGTGCTGCCCTCCGTCCGGCCTGTATGAAGCACCAGCGGATACAACCTCCACCTGCGCGCACATTTTCAGCAACTGCTGCCATCCTACACATCCCGTCCCCCCCCCACTGTCGCCAAACACGCTCTCCGCCGTCCTCCGACCTCTTCCCTCCCTCCTTCTCTCCTTCCCTCCTCCCCTCGCTCACTCACTCTCCCCCTCGCCCTCGCCTTCTCCCTTCCCCCCTCCCTCCCTCCCTCCCTCCCCCCCTCCCTCCCTCATCTCACAGGTTTGATCTTGGAGGGCTCTGGCCGCATGCGCGCCATGTGCCTCCTCTTGTTGTTGGGAACGTGATGCTCGTCGAATACTGCGTTCTCGAGCTTGAGCGGGTCGTTCTTGTACAACTTGGGCCATTGGTCCTGTAGACGATGAGAGGTCAAAAGTGAGAAAGAAAGATAAAGACAAATTTCATCATCATCATCATCATCACCATCACCATCACCCCCACGATTACAACCATCATCACCATCATCACCACCATCACCACCACCACCACCACCACCATCGTCGACTTTAAACAATTGTCATTGAATTTGCTCACTTCATTCTTGCTCTCTCCTGCATCGCCCCAGAGATCGAACGATCGCTCCGACGCCTGGGGTGCACTTTCGCTCCTCCGCTTCCTGCTCACGACACTTCCATGCTCCCTGATCTCCTCGGCAAACTGATCTATCCTCTCCTGGATCGTGTTCTTCTTCTTGCCCGAGCGGAAGACTTTCCTTGCTTCAATCTTCTCATTCGGCTTCAAGATGCTGTTACACTTGAGCTCCCACGCGTCTTTCCGCCCCACTTTCAACGCGCTTCCCTTCTTGTCCACGAAGAACAGTTCGTCGTTCTCCTTGAACTGTGGCTCTGCATTGCGCAAGAGTGCGTTTGATTCTGCATTAAGCGCATCCTGCCGAACCCCGCTCGTCAGAACCAAATGAGTTATATGGATAAGCACAGTCCATATCTGCCTCTTTCAACCAATTACTGTATATGTGTTCCTTCCTACTTCACCTTAGACCCTCTTGCGCTAACCAAACCTTCTCAATGTACAGACACTATAACACAACCAGAAATCTCTTGCAGTGCGCTTACTCCACGTTCATCTTCACGTCTTTCCCCTTCCTTCTCTCCTCTGTTCTCTCACAAACCCTCTCCCACTCCTCTCCACTTCATTCCAATCACTTTCTCCCCTCTCTTCCCCTCCCAACTTCATGCTCCCCGCCCCTCCCGTTCCTCTTCCCTCTCCTCTCCTCTTCCCTCTCCTCTCCTCTCCTTTCCTCTCCTCTCCTCTCCTCTCCTCCCTTACCTCGAGCCCTTCTTGTTCCAACTTCTGCCATGACTTCTTGGTCGACTTCGCCGGTCTTTTCCCCATGCTACACGTGCGCCCACCCTTGAACCACCCTACCCTTCATCCAATAACCCCACCTTGAATCAAAAGTACAATACCTGGTACTTTAATGTGCGATTCGGAGTTTAAATAACCGGTACTGTTTCAAGACTACCCCTGACATGTGTCAGTACCCACCCTTCTTGAGAACAATAGCGTGAATTTGAGTAAAGGCTTTTGACAGAACTTCAAGGCTTACCGAACCCGCCCCGGCGACTCTGCTCGTAACTGCTGAAAGTTCGGAGCCTCCGGTTTTGAAAGTTTCCGGCGGGCCCGGCCGTGATCGGACCGGGTCCGAGTGGCCGCGCGTAAATCGCCCGGGTGACCGTGGACCGTCAGTGAAGCGGCGGGCACCCGGGGGCCCGCGGGGCTGATACCGGCCCGGGACTCCGTGATCCGCGGCGGCGGCCCGGCCCCGCCGCCCTGCCAGCCTGGCAGGCTGTGTCGGACGGTCCGGGCTCTCAGGTCGTCGGAGTCCCGGCGACTCGAGTCCGGCCTTCAAGCCAGTGGGCCCGGAGACCGTCCCGATGCCACACTGTGACACAGTCTGCCGGGGCCGCCGACCGGCCGGGCCACCCGGGCCGCCCCCGGGCTGGGCAGCCGGGGCCACGGCGGCCCGACGCCGCCCGGCCGACTCGATGATGATGAACCGGGTGATAACGCCTCTGATACAAATAACATTACTCATCAGTGCACTCTTTCCAGGGGTGCAGTCAAAAATGGGTGTTGGGGGGTACTTCCAGAGGGGTAGAGGTCTGAAATGGGAGGGAAGCCGGGGATAAAGAGATAGAAAGTGTGGGGGTAGGGGTATATGAAGAGACGCCATGGGGGAAATCTGCCTTGTTGTGGCCTTTGGTGTGACAGAGGAGCGGAAAATCGATTGGAGGGGTGGGGGGTAGTCATCTGGTGATAAAAGGGGGTAGGAGGATATTTGTTGGGGGTAATGAGCAGAGGTGGTCCTTAGAAGGGTAGCGGCTGTAATCGCAAGGGTATTGGGATAGGCTTTTTATCTATGGTATCAATAGATAAATATTAGAGATAGAGGGTATATGGTCACAATATTTTGGTTTTTCAAGTGGGGTAGGTGGACATCTTGTAAGGGGGTTACAAGATGGAGTTGAGGGTATATGTAAGGGGGGACTTCAAATTCCAGGTAGGGTAGTCATAAAAATTACAAGTACCCGGTGATTCGAGGTAAAAATACCGGGACTTGTGGGGTATCATTTATTCTTTGGGGGTGGTACAATGAGTATGGTGTTCTAAATGGGGTGACTTGGTACTCGGGTTTAAATTGGGGGGGTGGGGTTCTTGAACTGAGAGGTGGTGATGACAGTTACGACAGATGGACCCACCCCACATGACCTAAAGAAATTCAGGAGAAAATAAGGGTAGTAATACTTTCGACCAGGGGTATATTGCATGGGGAAATGAGGGGTACTTCGAAGTCCCTAAGGGAAGGCTGGGGGCGGAGCCGAGACAGCACCACACCATCCCTCGTACCCCTACCTGCTCTTCTCATGGTACCCCACCCTCAACATCAGATTGACTTCTCCCAACTCATTCAGAACGCTCTCATGCTAGTATATTTATCTAGTATGATACTATTTAAATTTCCGTATGTGTCTGATATATTGCCTTTCAATAGCATTTGATCACCCCCTACCCTCTTTTTAGATCCACCCCCGCACATATACCCCGGGAAGGGAAGGGGATGGGGGTGGGTCAAAATGGATGGGTCGTGGAGTGCCCAATCACAGGGGTGGGTTTAGTCAGGCGGATGGTGGGGTAGTAGTACCCATGGATTACTGATGAGCAGTAGGTATTGATGGGGTGGGGTGGTGGGGTGGGGCCAAGGTAGCGTGATAAATGGCAGACGTCGCTGTGAAGCAAGAAGGGATGAAGGAGGAGGAGGAGAAGGAGAAGAAGGAGGAGAAGGGGGAGAAGGAGGACGAGGACACAGGAAGTAGCTCCAATGGCACCGCCGTGAAGAAAGAGGAGGCCGATGGTGCGGAGACCAAGGACGGGGATGGGTTCAGCGATGAGAAGTTGAAAGAAACCCTCTTCGCCATATTGAAGCTGTCAAACCTTGAGGAGCTCAGCAAGAAGATGGCGAGGAGGAAACTTGAGGAGAAACTAGGTATGTCTCCTGTCACAGCGTCATGCTTGATCCAGCATCGCCCCCTCACTCCCTACCTCAAAATCGTACTTCGCCTTCTCTTCTTGGGTATGTTTGAGGGAGAATCTCGACATATCTAGCGAAGGCGATAGAAGGGGACGATCTTCACCGACACCAACATCTCTTATGCGCCATCACGATCAAACCACTCGTCCCCCTCAGCCCTGCTGGCGTTAGCCGTCGCCTCTTAAACGTTTTGGCAGGGCTCAGTGAAAAGAGTTTAGAGGGGAAGAAGCAAGAGATCGGCGATTGGGTTGATGAGTTCGTTGCAGCTCAGGTAATGACGCTAGAATCCGATGGCAGGACTGAATATCGCTGGCAGGAATCGAGTGCGGAGGAGGAGGAGGAGGAGGAGGAGGAGGAGGAGGAGGAGGAGAAAGAGGAGGAGGCGGAGAGCGAGGCGAGGAAGGGCAAGGAGAAGAAGAAGGGAGGGAAAGGTGATAGCTACCCATGATGTGTCTCTGCTTGCTGACTCTGAGGCGCGGAAGGGAGAGGAGGAGCAGGTTGGGGTTCAAACTGGTTCAGTGAGGGTCTGGCGAATTTCATGGGGGCCCCGTCGGGAAAGCGGACGGAGGTAAGGGGGAGGGACATGAGGGGTGGGGTGGGTTGGGGGGAGGGGGAGGGAGGGGGGGTACTGCATGCTCGCTCTTGCTACAAGAGCGCAAGAGGAGAGCGGGTGGTGATGGGATGCTGCTGCAGGTGGTGAAGGCGATATGGGATTACGTGAAGCAAAACGACCTCCAGGACGCCAAAGACAAGAGGGTGCGGAGATGATGCAGAAATTGCGCACGTGCTGCGATGCTGATGGTAGCTGTGCAGTTCATCATGGTGGATGAGAAGCTGGAGCAGATCTTTGGCAAGAGAAAGCGTGTTCATGTACGTCATCGCTAAGCAGGAGGAGGAAAGGGGTGGGAAGAGGAAGACGATGGCAATGGTGATGGTGATGGTGATGGTGATGGTGATGGTGATGGTGATGGTGATGAAGAGGAGGAAGGGGGGGAGGAGGGGGGAGAGTGCAAACTCGTGATGTTGGATCAGATGTTCAAGATGAATCAGCTGCTCAGCCCGCACTTCGGTCAGAGGGTGAGATCAGTTCCCCCATCCCCGCTCACCTCTCGCCCCTCTTCAAGCTTTCCTCGCCAACCTTCTCCTTCTCCCTCCCCACTATCGCTCTCCTCCGCGACCCTCCAACCTCCAACCTGCACCCAGCACCCTCGATCCTCCATCCTCGTTCCTCTCTGATGCACCTCAATCCTCCTCCTTCCTCACGCTCGTTCCGTTCAGTGTGGAGCCGAGGACGAGAGCGGTACATTTAAGGTGGAGGAACACGAGGGGGATGCTGAGCAGGAAGAGGAAGCGCCCAAGAAACGGAAAGGTGAGAGCTCGTTCCCATCTCTCCCTCCTCTCCCTGCTCTCCGGTTCCACAGCTCCTCCTCTCCTCCTGTCCCCCGTCGCCATCCATCGTTCTTGTGAAACTCCTCCTCCTCCTCCTCCTCCTCCTCCTCCTCCTCATCCACACCGCCCCCCGCATCTTGATCTGGCTCAGACCTGTTTTAATAGTCCACTTCTTGCTAACGTTTCGCAACAGTGTTTGGGGCACACTTCTATGAGGTCTTCCGGATCCAGGGTGTTCAAAGGGCAAAGTCCCAACCAGCACCAAAAGATTCATTTCCCGTGTAAAAGAGGTTCAGATGTTAAAA